CGCTTGGAAAGGAGCGTCCGGTTTGTCCGGCTCGGCTGCAGTTTAGGGTTTAGGGTTTAGGGTTTAGGCTTTTCAGTTGTGGGGCGTGGGGATTCGGAAAGGTACTTAGAGGATCATGGGACTTAGTAAACTAGGGTGATAAGTACCCTGCTTTGAGTTGTAAGTATAGTTACCTTATGTATAACCCTAGTTACTAAGTCTCATGATCCTCCAAGTAGGAAATGTACCCCAAAGGGTCTCAAGCACCAATGTGGGGGGCTCAAGTGTATTCCAGCCAGTAAATGTGGAGGGCTCTATGCAGAAAGCCTGAAAATCTCCTGGGGGTCCATGTACTCAGGTAGTATCTGTAGACATTGGTCCTACAGACCTAAAGTACCTATGTCGGAGTTTCCGAAAGTGGGGGACCCTGATATTATACCCGAAATAGTAGGATGCTTATTATAAGGACCCCCAAATACAGTACCCCTAATGTCAGAAACTCCCATATAGAGACAACATCCAGGCGAAAGCATATACTACATGGGCACATGAGTAATATGCAGCCGCGTTGCGATGGAGTTCACAGCGAAGCGCCTCATGTTGGTCAAAGCCGGTGGTTCGGGGTCTCCAGTGGGCAATATAGGAGTCGTAGGATGCTGCAGGACTTGATACAGCAAAGCCTCACCATACCCAGAGATTACCACAGCCCGCATTAGGCAGTACACTTTATTTTGTGGAGCATTCCTGGGTAAGCCCAATCCCCTTGTGCCAGCTCCCTGCGTTCTTGGGTTAGGGTTTAGGGTTCGATAGTGCGCAACCGCCAGCTCAACAAACCCAAAGATAAGCTTCAAAACACATGACAGGGTCCAGGGTTCTGGCGTTTAGAGCTTTAGTTTGCCTAAACCCTCAAACCTACACCCCGTCTCTCTGCATGATTGCAACCTGCTTCGAGAAAGAGGTCCCCAACAAAACACGGCCCTTATAGAAAGGGCCCTGAAAGGCCCCTTTTTCAGAGAACTACAAAATTCGGGCCTTAGGGGTTTAGGGTTTAAGGTTTAGGGTTTAGGGTTTTTTCAGACAACTACAAAATTCTGTACTTGGAGGGGCAGCGGACTTAGTAAGTAGGTTATAAGTAGGGTTATAGTTGAGGTAACTCCATTTAGGGTACTTATAACTCCTACTTACTAAGTCCCCTGCCCTTCCAAGTACAAAATTCTGTCCTCTCACTTACGGAAAGAATGACCTACTTCACAACAGCAACAATCGAGCGAACGGGGAAAAGGCCCTAAACCCTAAACCCCCCAAGCCTATCCCTTGGATCTAGTTGCCACCAGCTTCCGGATTTCCCGCCGCTTCCAAAAGCATTATATGGGTGGTTGTCAAAATAAGGGTCCTTTTTTTGGGTACCCTGAATATTAGGTGCCTTATTGTATTAAGGACCCAAAAAGGGACCCTAATTTTGACAACCACCCATATGGAAGTTTCCGAAAACTGTGGACGATAATGAGCCCTGATAAAGTACCCTAAATAGTAGGACCCTTACTATAAGGACCCCAAGATAAGGTACCCGTCCTTTTTCGGAAACCCCCTTTTAGGGCTGTGAGATTTCGCGCTTCTGGGAACTTGCCAGCATGGAACCTTCCAACGACACCATCATGTAAAGCACCAATTATAGTATCCTTAAGGGAGGGGGGTCCAAGGGGGGTATATAGCCTAGTGATCCCTAATTCTCCCTAGTACTCCCTAAGGTCCCCTTACAGTCCCCTAAGGATTCCTTATATCCTCCCCCCTTGAACCACCCTCCCTTAAGGATCCTATAATGTAAAGCACCAAAGGGTTTGCGCGAGAAGAACATGAAAGTTTCCAAAAATAGGGGTACCTTTTAGGTACGGCCCTCACTCAGTAATCGTTGAATAATATTCATAATATAGATATATTAGGACCTTAATAGTAGCCCTAATATAGACTCTTACTGTAAGGGGGCCGTACCTAAGGTACCTTACTTTGGGGTCCTCATTATAAGGATCCTACTCTTTAGGGCACTAAATAAGCGGTCCCTATGCGCCGGAAACTTCCACATGGTTGTGGGGTGTAGTATGCCAGCACCCGGGTGGTATGACGGAAGCCGACAAATAATTACAGCGCTGCCTTCTCAAACCTCCAGCTCTAACGCAACAGCCCAACAGCAACAGCGCATTACACCATAAATCTGAAACTTTTAAACCCTGAACCCCAAATACCTTTGATCATTCTATTACCCTGCCAGCTCTTACAATAATTCTGCAATGCAAAGGTCAGTAGATTCAGTAGATCCCAAAAACATAGCTGTAGGGTCCAAGCCAGCACTATGGCTAATGATGAAAATCCTGCAATACCCATAAGAACCAGCTTTACTAGCCCAGACGCTATAAGCCCCACCCGGAACATAAAACCCCGCCGAGGGTCAACTGCGTGCCAGACGCCAAATGTGAGGTCTTGGGCGAACCAAGGTAGTGGCTGTCACTCCTTTTCTTTTTATGGCTCAGGGTATATAATGGGGGCTTAGAGTTAACGGTTTGTGGATTAGGATTTTGGGGTTGTCGGGCTGGTTACACTGAACTTAGACCCCCAGCAAAACCTGTTTCTTAGGGATTACAATAACCAAAGATCAAAAACTGTGTCTAAGTACCCCTAAGCTTTGGGGTTGAAGGTCTAGAGTTTGTTTATGACTTCGGGCTTGGGGGAATGCTGAGAAATTCAGCGCCAGGGGTTAGAGGGAACGCTTAGAACGTCTTCCCCTCAGCGTCCCTGTAGACCTGTACATACATTTACAGTACTCCAAAAAAACCAGTCTGACTGTTAAGATCCCAATTTCAGGGCTGTAGGGTAAAGGTGTTTAACTGTCGAAGGAATTTGGCACCCTGGAGAAAGGTTGTCTGGAAGTTTGCATTGGGGCTTCATGGCTTCAGAAAACCTAGACCTTTATCCTGGAATTTTGGTCTGCAGGGTCTTGTTGATGCGATGCTGCTCCGCGTCTCATTTTTGGAGCGGGGGAGGGAACAAAAGCGACTAGGGATCCTCATTTGCAAACATTACCACCACCACCACCACCACCACCACCGCCACCACGACTATCGCTGCTACTACGACTACTATTCTACTACCACCTTTACTACTACTGCACCGACAACGACGACGACTGCTGCTACTACTACTACGACTACGACTGCTACTACTGCTACTGCTACTGCTACTGCTACTGCTACTGCTACTGCTACTGCTACTGCTACTGCTACTGCTACTGCTACTGCTACTGCTACTGCTACTGCTACTGCTGCTGCTGCTGCTGCTACTGCTGCTACTGCTGCTACTGCTGCTACTGTGCTACTACTACGACTCCTACTACTCCTACTACTACTTCTACTGCTCTGGGGGGTTTAAGGTTGCGGGTTTTGGGCTTCGTGTTTACCAGCACCCCGAGTATCCCTTATAGGGGTCTCATATTCCTCATTCGGAGGTATTATGAGTTACCATAACGGGCAGCTAGTTGGGCATAAGGTGTGGGGTTATTACTTCCCTAGGGCTCCAGTTGCTTACATAGTAGGTTTAGTAACCACGTCATACATGACCAAGTAGCCCAAACTGGAGCCCGAGGGATCTTGTTCAATATCTGCCTTCATTTTTTGCTACAATCAAGGGTGATTCTTTGAGGATCTAGGTAGAGTTCAGAGTTGATGGTTAGGGTTAGTTTAGGGTTTAGGGTTTATCTGCCTTCAACTTTTCACCGTCAGGCAGCGAGTTGAAGTAACGCTGCAGACGCAGCTTCAGGGACCAGAGGTTCACGAAGGTGTCACCATCGACCTGGCAAGTGGCTAGCGTAGGAAGTTGGCCGTCTTGAAGCTAAGAAGTCCTAAAATCGTCGACCCATGTTCTAAAGCTATGCGGTGTTTGTTGTAGCGGAGGATTCTGCATTGGTCCAAGGCTGCAGGGCTTGACAACAATGTAGGTTCGCTAAGGACATACTTAAAGGAGCCTGACAATTACCCGTACTACTTTGGAGGTTCCTTATCTTAATTTTAGTACAACGGGCCCCAAAACCCTATTCTATGAATAAGGCCCCCCCATACCATAGAACCCTACTATAGATCCCTACAGAACCCTTTAAAGGGACCCTACTATAGATCCCTTTAAAGGAACCCTATTCGGTGGCCCGCCAGGGCCAGAATCCTGGTGCTGCTCCACCACAGTTTACTCGACGACAGGAAGGAAGGCTTATGCTGCTGAACACCTTCGCACTCCCTAAGGGTCCATGTGCCCAATTAGTAAAACCTGTGGTGCCTATATAGTATACTTAAGGTTCCTTTAAGGGCTCTCTAGGGGTTAAGTGTTTAAGGGTCCATGTGCCCATATAGTACATATAGTCTTAGGCCATGCAGGGTGCCAACATAGGTGCTTTAAGGCCTATGTATACGCTATATAAAAGCATGGAGCCACAATCGAGCTAGGATTTAAGACCGGGACTAAAGGATTTCTGATGCAGCGATTCGGTGGGAGCATGGTGGAAAGAAACGGCCGGAATAGTCTCGTCATAAGGCGCTTCGCAAACTGCAAAACACCAAAAGTCGATACCACAGACCCATCTGGGGGGCTACGCCTAGGGGCCTTACTAATTGGAATGGGGGTTTTGGGGCCCATTTTTCTACTTATAAAGAAGGAACCCCCAAAATAGTGTTGGTAATTTTTTAGGCCCCCACAGTGCGACAACGCAAGCACCTGCAAGCAGATGGGGAGAGTGCTGTGGCAGCAGCAGGCATAGAGCAGCAATTCCACCACTTTGTGCCGTATGTGCACGGCAATTGCTTTCATGCGTCGCAAAGAAGCGAGCTGGAACCAAAAGATCAACATGTGTGCAGTCTTCCTGCAGCACCAGGCTGTACAGTAGGAATTACCATTATAAAAGGTCTGCAAGTGCTCTTTACAACTGTACACTGCACCGTTCAAGGCTCTTGAAACAAAACTGGGCCTAGCCAGAGAACATGTTCTCAAGCCCCGAGGAACTCGAAGCCCTTGTTGTGCGCGTGGTAGACGGGCGTAGGGATGTGAGCATATCGGGCCTTGAGTTGCAAGGCCAGGAAGAGGGAATAGATGCGATTTTGCAGAAGATTGCCGCCGTGCAGCCAAAGGCCTTCCACGTTAGTTCTCTTCCACATGTTCCGCAGCTCTCCCTCCCAAGGTCCTTCATCTCCATCAATGCCCGTGCCCAAGCCCCATATCCTGCCGAGGCGTGCAGCCGTGTCTTTCCCCAACAGTTCCGCGATGAGCTTCGAAAGCGGCGCATAGCCCGTGGCAAAGACTACAGTGTCGGCGTTGAGATGGGTGCCATCGTCGGTGACCACTGCAGATTCGCTGAAAGCTATGGCACTGCCAGTCTTCACTTTGATCAACCCATCCGCAATGAGCTCTGAAGCACCTACGTCCAAGTACGTACCCGATCCAGTCGACAGATAGTTGGAGGTGTTCGTGGAAGTTGAATCCAGGAGAAAGCCCACCTGGGGTTTCTAAAAGACGTTATGCATCCCTCATCCCCAACTTAATCATAGTTGTGCTTGTTGCTGCTTGCCGCTTACCATCTACCACGCCTTATCACGCATGAAAAGTACAGGGAACAGGCTTGGCCGTTGGTGGCTTGCAGCATGTTACAGTCCCTCTACAACTACGCGTCCCAATATCTCCATGGGCATAAACCGGCTTAAATAGGCAGTACCGCAGTAGGATTAGTCATAGTACTCATGCAGCATATAATCGAACCATACCTTTCTCGGTTACTGCTTATCCTTCTACAGGCGAAACACAAGGGACATCCTGGTCCTAGACTAATCTGCAGGTAACCCCCACCCCCATTCACTTTCATACACCATAATACACTATAAACCCTAACCGCAACCCCTAAACCCTCAGCCCTAAACCCTAAAAAAAACCCGCCTTTTCCAGTCGCTGCAGCAGATCAGCATCTTGCTCCCTGAGCTCCACGGCGGCTCTGCGCTGCTTCTCCAAGAGAAGCCGGTAAGGCGTTGACATGAACCTTCTTTCTTCAGTATAGGGTTTAGGGGTTTTGGGGTTTTGGGTTTACCCTAACCCTAAACCCTAAGTAGCCAGGCCCCAAAAAGTTCCAACTTTCTATGATAGCCCAAATCTGTATGAGGCCAAAAACTGTAGGCCATCCCATTCCCAAGGGCTCTAGCTCCCCTAAAAGATAGGTTACTAGCCATTATACATACATATATATATATATATATATATAATATATATATTCTATTATAGAAATATATACCAGCAGCCTACTACTTTAGGTCACTGGAACCCTAATGGATCGGCTATCTGAGTCTAAGAGACTCCAAGTCAGCCGCCGCCGCGCTCATCCCAGCGGCTCTTGCTTCTTCTGAGTAGAGCCTTACAGGGTTTAGGGGTTTAGGGTTTAGGGGTTTAGGTTTTAGGGGTTTAGGGTTTAGGGGTTTAGGGTACCCAAAGGGTCCAAGTATCATTCTGGTGTATACTTATAGGGTATTTTGGGGTGTCTAAGCATATACCATAATGATACTTGCACCCTTTGGGTTGCTTGTCCGGTATCCTAAGGGAACTCAAGGTTAACCTTGCTGATTATATAGGGGTTCTGGTAATTAACCCAAAAACGGTTCAAGGTTACCTACTTTACTTTACTAGTAGTACCAAGAAGCCGTTGCAAGCAAATCTGCTGATGGGTGCTCACCTTGGTGATTGGTGTGGGGCTGCGCTGAATCATTGTCACATCCGCACCGTGCTCCCACAAGTCCTGGCAGATGTCATGAGCCGAAGTGCCGGATCCCACCACAACGACCTTCTTGCCGTCGTGAGATGCACCTGAGACGTACTGCGAGGAGTGCATGGTGACTCCTGCAAATGTCTCCTGATTCTGGAGTTTCGGTTTGTAGGCAGTGCCATTCAGGCCTGTTGCGATGACCAAGTGTCGTGGCTGTAGCTGCACGCGCGTGCCGTCCTTCTCAACATGCACGGCCCAGCTCTTCTTCACCTCGTCCCACTCCGCTTTTACGCAGCGGGAGCGGGTCCACACATCAACATTCATCAGCCTGGCATACATGTCGATCCAGTCTGCCATCTGGTCCTTTGTGAGGTACTTAGGCCAATGATCTGGGAAGGGCAGGTAAGGGAACTCACAGTAGGAGACTTGGAAATGCAGTCGCAGGGAGTCGTAGCGGTGGCGCCAAGCATCACCCGGTCGGTCGTTCTGCTCAAGGACGATGCTAGGCACTCCAAGCTGTTTCAGCCGGGCCCCCAAAGTCACCCCACATTGACTGCCCCCGACGATCACTACAAAGGGCTCTGGCTCTGCGCATGCTGGCTGCAATGCGCTTCGCCGCATGGCCTTCGGATGGCCACCCAGATCCCTCAAGAGCCCCCGCTTCTCTTCATGCCCGTGGAGTGCTTGGGCAGCGGTCAGCAACGTCCAGCACAGGCCTTGGCGAAGCTTCACCTGCCCGATGCAGCTTGCGCAGGCCGTCTGGAACACGAACTGCGCGGTGACGATCCCATCTGCATCGGTCGCTCCGGTGAGGACCCAACTATGTGGCTTCACACGGTCCAGAACGGATGAGACCATCTCGAGAATGGCCCTCTTACCTTCCGTAGTCTGGATGTCCCATGTGAAAGACAGCAGATCTCGCCACGTGCAACTCTCCGCAAAAAGATTTGAGAGCCCTTCGTAGTCGCGGGTTTCCAAGGCCAGGGAGAAATTCTCCAGCCAGGAGCGTGCGACGTCCTGCGGAGCCATGGCTAGACAGATCAAGCAGGATAGGGGACAAGAGCTGGAGGCGCCTTGCGCAAAAACGACATCGGATCGACAGCTCCAAGGATGCTGACAGGAGCAGGAAGTTGGCCGTCTTGAAGCTAAGAAGTCCTAAAATCGTCGACCCATGTTCCAAAGCTATGCGGTGTTTGTTGTAGCGGAGGATTCTGCATTGGTCCAAGGCTGCAGGGCTTGACAACAATGTAGGTTCGCTAAGGACATACTTAAAGGAGCCTGACAATTACCCGTACTACTTTGGAGGTTCCTTATCTTAATTTTGGTACAATGAGCCCCAAAACCCTATTCTATGAATAAGGCCCCCCATACCATAGAACCCTACTATAGATCCCTACAGAACCCTTTAAAGGGACCCTACTATAGATCCCTTTAAAGGAACCCTATTCGGTGGCCCGCCAGGGCCAGAATCCTGGTGCTGCTCCACCACAGTTTACTCGACGACAGGAAGGAAGGTTTATTAGCTGAACACCTTCGCACTCCCTAAGGGTCCATGTACCCAATTAGTAAAACCTGTGGTGCCTATATAGTATATACTTAAGGTTCCTTTAAGGGCTCTCTAGGGGTTAAGTGTTTAAGGGTCCATGTGCCCATATAGTACATATAGTCTTAGGCCATGCAGGGTGCCAACATAGGTGCTTTAAGGCCTATGTATACGCTATATAAAAGCATGGAGCCACAATCGAGCTAAGATTTAAGACCGGGACTAAAGGACTTCTGATGCAGCGATTCGGTGGGAACATGGTGGAAAGAAACGGCCGGAATAGTCTCGTCATAAGGCGCTTCGCAGAACACCGAAAGTCGATACCACAGACCCATCTGAGGGGCTACGCCTAGGGGCCTTACTAATTGGAATGGGGGTTTGGGGGCCCATTTTTCTACTTATAAAGAAGGAACCCCCAAAATAGTGTTGGTAATTATTTAGGCCCCCACAGTGCAACAACGCAAGCACCTGCAAGCAGATGGGGAGAGTGCTGTGGCAGCAGCAGGCATAGAGCAGCAATTCCACCACTTTGTGCCGTATGTGCACGGCAATTGCTTTCATGCGTCGCAAAGAAGCGAGCTGGAACCAAAAGATCAACATGTGTGCAGTCTTCCTGCAGCACCAGGCTGTACAGTAGGAATTACCATTATAAAAGGTCTGCAAGTGCTCTTTACAACTGTACACTGCACCGTTCAAGGCTCTTGAAACAAAACTGGGCCTAGCCAGAGAACATGTTCTCAAGCCCCGAGGAACTCGAAGCCCTTGTTGTGCGCGTGGTAGACGGGCGTAGGGATGTGAGCATATCGGGCCTTGAGTTGCAAGGCCAGGAAGAGGGAATAGATGCGATTTTGCAGAAGATTGCCGCCGTGCAGCCAAAGGCCTTCCACGTTAGTTCTCTTCCACATGTTCCGCAGCTCTCCCTCCCAAGGTCCTTCATCTCCATCAATGCCCGTGCCCAGGCCCCATATCCTGCCGAGGCGTGCAGCCGTGTCTTTCCCCAAAAGTTCCGCGATGAGCTTCGAAAGCGGCGCATAGCCCGTGGCAAAGACTACAGTGTCGGCGTTGAGATGGGTGCCATCGTCGGTGACCACTGCAGATTCGCTGAAAGCTATGGCACTGCCAGTCTTCACTTTGATCAACCCATCCGCAATGAGCTCTGAAGCACCTACGTCCAAGTACGTACCCGATCCAGTCGACAGATAGTTGGAGGTGTTCGTGGAAGTTGAATCCAGGAGAAAGCCCACCTGGGGTTTCTAAAAGACGTTATGCATCCCTCATCCCCAACTTAATCATAGTTGTGCTTGTTGCTGCTTGCCGCTTACCATCTACCACGCCTTATCACGCATGAAAAGTACAGGGAACAGGCTTGGCCGTTGGTGGATTGCAGCATGTTACAGTCCCTCTACAACTACGCGTCCCAATATCTCCATGGGCATAAATAAACCGGCTTAAATAGGCAGTACCGCAGTAGGATTAGTCATAGTACTCATGCAGCATATAATCGAACCATACCTTTCTCGGCCACTGCTTATCCTTCTACAGGCGAAACACAAGGGACATCCTGGTCCTAGACTAATCTGCAGGTAACCCCCACCCCCACTCACTTTCATACACCATAATACACTATAAACCCTAACCGCAACCCCTAAACCCTCAGCCCTAAACCCTAAAAAAACCCGCCTTTTCCAGTCGCTGCAGCAGATCAGCATCTTGCTCCCTGAGCTCCACGGCGGCTCTGCGCTGCTTCTCCAAGAGAAGCCGGTAAGGCGTTGACATGAACCTTCTTTCTTCAGTAGGGTTTAGGGGTTTTGGGGTGTAGGGTTTACCCTAACCCTAAACCCTAAGTAGCCAGGCCCCAAAAAGTTCCAACTTTCTATGATAGCCCAAATCTGTATGAGGCCAAAAACTGTAGGCCATCCCATTCCCAAGGGCTCTAGCTCCCCTAAAAGATAGGTTACTAGCCATTATACATACATATATATATATACATATATATATATATATATATATATATTCTATTATAGAAATATATACCAGCAGCCTACTACTTTAGGTCACTGGAACCCTAATGGATCGGCTATCTGAGTCTAAGAGACTCCAAGTCAGCCGCCGCCGCGCTCATCCCAGCGGCTCTTGCTTCTTCTGAGTAGAGCCTTACAGGGTTTAGGGGTTTAGGGTTTAGGGGTTTAGGTTTTAGGGGTTTAGGGTTTAGGGGTTTAGGGTACCCAAAGGGTCCAAGTATCATTCTGGTGTATACTTATAGGGTATTTTGGGGTGTCTAAGCATATACCATAATGATACTTGCACCCTTTGGGTTGCTTGTCCGGTATCCTAAGGGAACTCAAGGTTAACCTTGCTGATGATATAGGGGTTCTGGTAATTAACCCAAAAACGGTTCAAGGTTACCTACTTTACTTTACTAGTAGTACCAAGAAGCCGTTGCAAGCAAATCTGCTGATGGGTGCTCACCTTGGTGATTGGTGTGGGGCTGCGCTGAATCATTGTCACATCCGCACCGTGCTCCCACAAGTCCTGGCAGATGTCATGAGCCGAAGTGCCGGATCCCACCACAACGACCTTCTTGCCGTCGTGAGATGCACCTGAGACGTACTGCGAGGAGTGCATGGTGACTCCTGCAAATGTCTCCTGATTCTGGAGTTTCGGTTTGTAGGCAGTGCCATTCAGGCCTGTTGCGATGACCAAGTGTCGTGGCTGTAGCTGCACGCGCGTGCCGTCCTTCTCAACATGCACGGCCCAGCTCTTCTTCACCTCGTCCCACTCCGCTTTTACGCAGCGGGAGCGGGTCCACACATCAACATTCATCAGCCTGGCATACATGTCGATCCAGTCTGCCATCTGGTCCTTTGTGAGGTACTTAGGCCAATGATCTGGGAAGGGCAGGTAAGGGAACTCACAGTAGGAGACTTGGAAATGCAGTCGCAGGGAGTCGTAGCGGTGGCGCCAAGCATCACCCGGTCGGTCGTTCTGCTCAAGGACGATGCTAGGCACTCCAAGCTGTTTCAGCCGGGCCCCCAAAGTCACCCCACATTGACTGCCCCCGACGATCACTACAAAGGGCTCTGGCTCTGCGCATGCTGGCTGCAATGCGCTTCGCCGCATGGCCTTCGGATGGCCACCCAGATCCCTCAAGAGCCCCCGCTTCTCTTCATGCCCGTGGAGTGCTTGGGCAGCGGTCAGCAACGTCCAGCACAGGCCTTGGCGAAGCTTCACCTGCCCGATGCAGCTTGCGCAGGCCGTCTGGAACACGAACTGCGCGGTGACGATCCCATCTGCATCGGTCGCTCCGGTGAGGACCCAACTATGTGGCTTCACACGGTCCAGAACGGATGAGACCATCTCGAGAATGGCCCTCTTACCTTCCGTAGTCTGGATGTCCCATGTGAAAGACAGCAGATCTCGCCACGTGCAACTCTCCGCAAAAAGATTTGAGAGCCCTTCGTAGTCGCGGGTTTCCAAGGCCAGGGAGAAATTCTCCAGCCAGGAGCGTGCGACGTCCTGCGGAGCCATGGCTAGACAGATCAAGCAGGATAGGGGACAAGAGCTGGAGGCGCCTTGCGCAAAAACGACATCGGATCGACAGCTCCAAGGATGCTGACAGGTGCACAGGATGCCGGATGAGCACAGCTTACCTTCGGTTAGTAGGGAATGGAAGAATGGTAGCAATAGTAGCTGTGATTCTACCCCATTCCTCCATTCCCTCCTAACCAAAGGTAGGACGGATGTCTTTGCCGCCTCATGTGGGACATCATGCACTTCGCCCCCTGGCCTTGACGAACCAACCACAATCGGAAGCATGATGTTCCTGAGTCTGGGTTTTAATTGGGGATCCTTTTTAAAAGGGGTCTATAAGGGGCTACTATAATGGCTACTATAAGGGTTCACTGTTGTTGTATCGTTTCAGGGATCCGTCGGATTGAGGGTTTTAGGGCTTGACCTGCAATACCGAAGTTACATGTACATGTGCTCCTGAGTCTGGGGTTTGCATTGTTATCGTAAGCTCTAGGGATCGAGGGTGTAATTAGTCTTTAGGATCCATTATACAGGCATAAAGTGCGGTTTAGGGTTTAGGATTTAGGAGCTTTGGGTCAAGGCTTAGGGGTTTAATTCCTTTAGGGTTCAAGGGTTTACCGGTTCAGGGGTTTAGGGCTTTTAGCCATACCATCGGATAACGTTTCAGTAGGGTTTAAGCTCTCACACAGGATATGTTGAAGGTTAGCTACTGAGATAAGATGTCAGCTCTTGAAACCTGAACACTGAAGACCGCAACTCCTGCACCCGGAGTTCTGAATCCTCAACCACTCTAACAAGGTATGAACCACCCATAAAGTGCTGTGGCTGACTGTTCGGTTGGTTGATTAAAGCAATTGAGCCATCCGGATCACTTGATCGGGTGTCAAAAAGTTCACCGGGTTCTTGAAGGAATTAAGTTCCCTAACAAGAACCCAGTTCGAAGAATGACGCCGAC